TTAAACTAACTTGTAGGTTGAAGTTTACTATATGTAAACTGAGACTACAGTAGTACTGAAACCAACATTAAACTAACTTGTAGGTTGAAGTTTACTATATGTAAACTGAGACTACAGTAGTACTGAAACCAACATTAAACTAACTTGTAGGTTGAAGTTTACTATATGTAAACTGAGACTATAGTGGTACTGAAACCAACATTAAACTAACTTGTAGGTTGAAGTTTACTATATGTAAACTGAGACTACAGTGGTACTGAAACCAACATTAAACTAACTAGTAGGTTGAAGTTTACTATATGTAAACTGAGACTACAGTTGTACTGAAACCAACATTAAAATAACTAGTAGGCTGAGACTACAGTGGTACTGAAACCAACATTAAACTAACTTGTAGGTTGAAGTTTACTATATGTAAACTGAGACTATAGTGGTACTGAAACCAACATTAAACTAACTTCTAGGTTGAAGTTTACTATATGTAAACTGAGACTACAGTTGTACTGAAACCAACATTAAACTAACTTGTAGGTTGAAGTTTACAATTCATAAACTGAGACTAAAGTGGTACTTAAACCAACTTTAAATTAAATAGTAAGTTAAAGGACACTAACTGAATAGGTTTTTAGCTACGAGTTGAAAGCTTCTAGGAGAATAAAAGTTTAATTAATGGTAAGAAAATGTTCAGTACCATGATGACTTAAAACTGAAGATGTGAATTACAAGAAACATAAATACATTAAATTAACATGTGTAAGGAGAATGCCTATCCATTTTCTTCTAGTATTTCATGAAAACAACATTTGTTGTGTACATTTGGTCATCTTCTGTCAGTTGTCCTTAATTATATTTTATGTTATATTCAAATGTTCTTCTTCGTAAAACATTATAGACTGAACCATGCAAAAAACAACAACAGGTTCTCAGGGATATATTCCTACATCGTTAAAAGTCTGACCCTGCTATTTTTTAATTGTGATGACAAATGAAATCAATTTTATGGTGAAGTTTTCATTAGAAATGCTTATAAATTTGTTGACTAATTCTTTAAAAATATTTAACCAAAGGTGAAAAACATCAACAATAATGTATTATAACACTATCTGTTCCTTTAGAAAAGATATTTTAGTTGTTTGAACACATACAGTTACTGGTCTTTATTTGAGATATGATATTATCTTATCCCTTATATAATCTATAATGGTATCTGTGTTTTTCCTAATATTCAAGGAGCTTGCTGTAAATATGATAATAAATATAAAAAAATGAACATAAAATCCCAAGTTGACTCAAATTTGACTTTGCGATTTCCACATGATAGTTGAGGGCTATAACCAGTGTGACACCCAGTCTCTGTAATAAAATGTTAACAAGTAATTCAAAGTATCATGTTATTGTGTTTTTTTTAACATTGTAATACCTTTCTCTAAACATGATGAGTTAATAATTTAAAAAAAGTTATAACAAATTCCCACTCCTCTGGGATTTGAACTCAATACTTCCGCTTGAGACAAACCACTAAGCCAATTTGAACATTACCAACAGAGTTGTGTGTTACTGAGGAAGGGAGTGTTCTGAAACAGTGGTTTTTTATATACATATATATAAACCATAAAAAAAAATTTAACTTGAACAAGTTTTGTTTCATTGATGTCCCAAATTCTATTGTACATTATTAGTGCATTTACATTATACATCAAAGGAACATAAGGACAAAAATATTTCTGGGTCAGCAGAATATTTTTTATTCACAATTTGTACATACTGTCTTCTAATGTAATATTTTGTATAAGTTTAGTACTCAAAACTGTTAACAACAGTATAAAAAATATTTTAAAATTATTATGTTTTCACAAATAAACTTTTTTCATAGGAAGAATATTGTTTTTTCTAATGTCATAAACTGTCAGTATATGTGGTAAAGTTATATTATATAACTTATAAATGCCATGCCTTTTCAACACAGTGCATTACAAAAAACAGATGAATGTATTCTTACTTTACAAATAGGGGAAATGGTGAAATTTTGTTTGTCAACGTACTGTGACTAATTGTTTCTGTCTTACCTGAATGTATTCAAGATAAATTATTTAAGATAATTTATTTAATGCCTCTTGAAACTGTGTACACATGGATATATACTACAATATTCTTCATGGCTGCAAAGGACTCTGAAACTTTAGGATGTACAATTGACCATTTGCAGTTTCCTTTAATCCATAATATATTGTTATTCTTTTGTATTCCTAATTAAGAAAGCTAACCAGTTTCTCTGTACCTCATGCTTTCAATCAGTAATGGCTTCCACATGATCTACAAGTCTCATGTTGGTGTTACTTAAGCTGTTTTGTATCAGGATAGATGTGGCTGAGACTTGTTCCTGTGCTTGATTTGGTTCTTTCTTTAGAAAGTATTCATGTTCTAGTTAAGGCTTTTCTTGTAATCACTACTCCACAAGATGCTCTTTTCAACTTTTAGATAACTGTTGCCTCAAGGTGGCTTGCTATTACATGGCAGCAGATGTGGGTTTCCTGGACAGAGTGGACTGTGTTATGTGGAAGGTGAATAACGTTTTTTTAATGTGCACCAATGTAGCACTCATTTTGAATTCAAAGAGGGTACAAAGATGTTCAATATCTACACTCTAAGGATGTTTTAAATCAACTAGATGGTTTTCATTAGGGTTTAAGATACTAGGTCTAAGCCTATTTCTTCCAATTCTTCTCAGGTACTGTTATATATTTTATGAAAAGATAAAGGTATTTTCTCTTTTGCTTGCCTTAGAATTACAGCCCCAGGTCCTGATTTCTGTTCCCTGTTCAAGAGCCCTTTTCAAAAAGTTTAACAGTAAGCATGCAGTATGCCAATTTTAATCTATCTAAAGTCCATGGTTAAGGGATTTTGTTGGTAGATGGACCTAGACATTGTTTCCAGTGACTGTCTGTCTCCTTTGGACATAAGTGGCAAGTACCAAGGGGATGACTTAGCTTACATTTTCTTTAGTGGGGTCTTAACTTTCAGCTGGTAACTTTGAATTTGTTTACTGTATAACAGATCTACATGTCTTCAAGAGTATGTTTTTGATATGAGAAGCACTAAGTATGGATGAGTTTACAGAAACTCTTAACTCCTTTTTTTTCTTTGCATTTAGGTTTACTAGATGTTTTGGTAAAAGAAACTGCTGCCCTATTTCCTCCAAGATTGTCTGCTCAGTCTTAGTTCCCCATTAAAACACTGTGCATTTAGACCACTAATGTTACCAAGCTCCAACATAACTAACAAGTGTTGTGTAGTCCTCTGCCAGCTGCACAGTTTTTCAGTTGTGTTTCTATACATCTGTATTAGATATGTCAAGGCTCTACTCAAAAGTTATATCAAGCTTGGTGGAGATCTCTCAATTGCTAGTGCTAGAACCTATCCATTGATAAGTTAGGACCTTTGATTGCAGACGTCTAGAATGTCTTTGAGAAGCATAATTTTCTCTTGCCTATTTGAAGCTATTGAGTTGCATTGATTTAATTATTAAGTTTGTTCTTTCTCTTCTTGTTAGAAGTCTAAAGTGTTTTCTGATCTGTTCAAAGCCTTTTTAATTTAATTTCCCTTTCAGTCATGTCTCCCGAGGGATTGTTAGGATCATGAAAGAAAAATAGTTTTTTATGGTTCTCAAGGCTACTAGCCATATGAAGTTGTGCTGTTTTTCCTCAAATGTCTTAGATTTATTTTGTTCTTGTTAGATTCAATAGAGAATAGATAGGATGCATACAAAGTTACTGTTTTCATGATTCTTCACAAGTAAGGTTACCTCTTTCTACATTTTGATTTCTCCTTTACCAATAAGCATGCTGTTTGGGAATGCAGTTTTAATTTTTCATTGCTTTTAAGTACCATCTAGAAGTCAGGACTACAAAGACCCATATCAACTACAGTGTTCCATGCAAGTCAACCTTTGTCTGCAACCCTTACAGAAACTTTTTTTTTTTTGTCTAAGACCAAAACATTTCAAGAATTGCAATATGCCCTAACAGGTCTAATCTAAAAGAAAAAAAAAGAGTTCCCTCAGTGGCACAGCGGTAAGTCTTCAGATTTATGACACAAAAATCAGGGGTTCGATTTTCCTTGGTGGATACAGCAGATAGCCCGAGAGATGCACAAATCTCCTTAAATAGCTGCAGGTTGCCGACCCCTGGTCTAGATGATCATTAGTATCTGTTGTATACTATATTGCAGGATAATGTAGTGCATTTTGCCTGTGACTTTGTAAGGGATTTCTCATTTCACAAGTGTATCAGTAGGCTTCCCTGCATTAGGAGTCTGCTGTATCTTTGCACATAGTATGACATTTATACATTTTTCATACTGTAGTGGTCCAATTGGTTCTAGAAATTATTCTTCACACCTGGATATGGATGACATCTATGACTCTTCAC